TCCATCCTCACAACATCCACCAGGAGGTAAACATAATTATTCCAGGTTTGCACATAAGCTAAGTGATGCTCAAAGGGATTAATGATTCACGGACTTGTACAAAGACAATAAGTGGTCGGTTGAACTGTGATTTTGAACCCGGGTCTTTGTGACGTCAAAAGCATGTGCTTTCTCCCTGACAGAGATAGGCAAAGGGAGAGAGAGGTAGGTTTATTTGGGGGGCGGGGGGGTGTGTGTGTGGGGGGTAGATTGTGCCTTTTCTCCAGGATGCGATCAGACATCCTAGTGGGTCCTGGGTTCCTTGAGGCCTCTGTCTGCTTAGCCCCTGACCCTCACGGCCGCCCTTCCCTGGAGTTCCCTGACATCCTCCTGGTCTGTTGGGGCTGGGGTGGGGGCAGGCCTGGAGGAGTGTGTGGAGGCAGAGGATCAATGGGAGGGGAGAGGAGAGATGCTACACTTCCTGGTTGGGGGATGAGGAGCCCAAGCTGAGTGGGCCCGCACTGGGCCAGCCCGGGGAAGGGCTCGCTGCCGGGGGAGGGCTGCAGGGGGAGGCTTCAGCAGGTTCGGGCTGCCACTTCTCTCCTGCACAGCCTTGGCCAGAGTTTGATTAGCTGGGCCTGGCTCCCCTGGTTACCCAACAGGCCAGCTGGCTAGGGGCCAGGCTGCAGCGGGAGGCTCCCTGGCACCTCCTCCTGCTTTCCCTCCCAGCTGGTAAACAGCAGAGCAGAAGCCAGCCACGCCACAGCCTCGTGACTCGCCCGCGCCTCCCCCCCCCCCCAACCTGGCGCACGTGGCACCTGGCGTGGAGAGGGCAGGCAGCTGTCCCTTCCTCCTGGGCCCTCCCATCTCGCCATCCTCCACTCCTGCCCAGCCCTGGAGCATCAGGCTCTGCTGCCATCAGCACCTCTGTTCCTGAGTAGCTCCCAGCGTCTCCCAATGGCTGCAGCTTGAGGGACAAAGGTTAGATGTAGAGGAGGACTTTCCAACTCCCCAGAGAGCTGACAAGGAGATGGGGAACGAGGAAGAGCGAAGTGGAAACTTTTGGGGACCTTCTCGTATGGAGAGTCTGAGGGGGTGTGTTTGTGCCTCTCAGCCTCTGACTGTCCCCATGTCCTTTTGGTAAATGCATAACCCACGCGTCTATGTGCACTTCTCCGCACAGAACAGGATGTTGGTCTGTTCTGGGGCTCTGTCCTTGGAGTAAGAAGCAAAGGTCTGCAAAATACCACCCCACCAGCGCCTTCTGGTAGACAAGGCAGAGGGCTGGGTGCTGGCATGATGCCCTGCCCTCCCTTCCCTCTGATGACCAGCTTTGCTTCCATCCACTCAGTATCCTCTCCCTGTCTCTCCCTGCAGCCCCTCCCTGTCCACGGCACTTCTGTTTTCTGTCCTCTCCAGCTCTTCCTTCTCTGTCTCTTCTCCTCTTTAAGCCCCTCTTCCTCCGTAACTCTGGGTCGCCTGGGCCCTTCCTGACTTGCCAGCTGTGGACACTGAGCATGCCGAGTGCCTGGGGATGGGCACTTGGCTCTGGAACTATGCCAGGCAGCCCTGCCCACCCCAGATACCACAGGTATGGCTGACTCTCAGAGCTGTGCCACTTTGTACCACTGTGTGGGATGGGGAGGAAGTAAGGGGGAGGGCAGGGGGTTGGAAGCCAGGGTCCTGGCCTCTAGGCCTAAGTGAGTCACATGCTTCTTAGACATTCTCACGTCTCTACCCCTTTCCTGCCCTAAACGTGAATGACGGGTTCTTTCTTCCCAGGGTAAGAAGGCACCTCGGACATCCTTTTGGGAAGTCCCCCCTCATGCCTAACCTTCCGCCCTCCTGCTTCAATCACAGCCCCTTTTCTAGATGAATCAGACCTTTCAAAGCAGGGCAGTGGGTATTTCCTCCTCAAATACTTTCAAGAGAATCATTTCACCCCCCACGTGACCAAGTTCCCTTATCAAGCTGGCATCTCAACCAAGGGGCAAGCAAGCAGGCTGGAGAGGGTGGAGGGTGGTGGTGGTGGCTTGGAACTGGGGAGCAGTCACCAACTTCTCTTTCCCTTCCTCCCCACCCCCTAAACCACAGAAACCACTTGAAGTCGAGTGCAAGCCTGGCCTTCTAGGGAGGGCCTGGGGCTGTGAAGGTGACAAGTATGTGGTCCCGGACAGCCATCCTTTGAGGCCCACCCTCTCTGGGAAGCCTGACCCAGTGATGAGGGACCAGCTATCTTGGGGTCCTCTCTAGGAGGTCCATGCCTGGGGAGACCTCAACCAACTAGAATGACTCAAGGAGGGGATGGTACCCCTCCCCACTCGCCCATTAAAAGAAGGACAACCCAGTCTCTGTAAACATCTATAGATCGCACAGCCTCCACCCCTCCCCCTTCCGTCACAAAGGCCACTGTGGGTGGAGGGAGCAGCTGGAGTTTGACCCCAGCTCCTGGCCCTGAACTTTCCATGGTGACCCTGACTAGACCACTCATCTATCAATTAACATGTGTGGTCACTTAGGCTTGGACATGGCAGGGAGGGTTGAAAAGCAGGAGCCAAAAGACTATGCAGGAGCCAAAGGAATACTTACTGGTTGGCTTCTGCTCTGCTGTTTACAAAAGGGGTCTGACTTGTTTGTGAACGTGCCTGTGCTTGGAGGCAGGAGGGGTTCTTAGGGCCTCATCTGCCCCAGGGCAGGTTTCTGCGGGTTAGCTGGCCAGGAAGTTCCTCCAGGAACATTGTGGCTCCCATCACAGGGGAGTTGGCAGCTATGAATACTGAGTGGACTGCTCCTCAGTGGGGTGGACTTGAATTCTACCTTGCAGCCAGCTCTGAGTGGGACGGGGGAGGGGGCTGTGGGGAGCCTGGGTGGGGCTACCATCCTAAATCTCCCCTGCAGCCAGGCGGGTCCCTAGGCAAGTTTATGTCACCTCTCTGATCCAGCTCCTCCGTAAAATGGGGGTACACCTACCTCACCGAGTGGGGATGACAGGTAAAATACACAGGTAAAATACAGGACCCCCCTCCATTCCTATAATCATCCCTTCTTCTCTTTATCTGGCATCCCTTTCCTGTGCCCCTTTCCCCCTTTATTTTTCTCTGTAACATATCACCCAGTGACATTTTTTACATTTATTTTGTATCTTGTCTGACCCCCCTCGTCCGATTTGACCACTGCTGTACCCTACACCTATTACCTCCTAGGCCAGTGGTTCTCAACCTTCCTAATGCCGCGACACTTTAATACAGTTCCTCATGTTGTGGTGACCCCCAATTTCATTGTTACAAATTGAACATCATTAAAGCATAGTGATTAATCACAAAAACAATATGTAATTATATATGTGTTTTTCGATGTTCTTAGGTGACCCCTGTGAAAGGGTCGTTCGACCCCCAAAGGGGTCGTGACCCACAGGTTGAGAACCGCTGTCCTAGGCCCTCCCTAAGTATTTGTTGGAGAAATGCATGGGTGAAGGTTAAATGACTTCGACATTTCTTTCCAGTTATTTTCAAATGGTTGTTACAGGGAGATTGGGGCTGAAGCAGAGGACAGTACTAGGGATAGGGTGAGGCTGAGGGGTGGCCTTCTCAGGCTGAGCCAGTTGGAAGGTTGGAAGGAGACCTTTCAGAGTGACCTGGTTGGGGGGGGGGGGGGAGGGAGTGGTGAGGGACTTCCACTGGGTAGCTGGCATTTAGGTATATTATAGTGAAGTGACTTAGTGAAGTGACTCTGGAGCCAGACTCTGGGTTCAATCCTAATTCTACTTCTCTTTAGATGAGTCAAGTGCAAGGTCACATTGAACACAATAGTACTTAGCCCTCCAGGGAGTTGCCGGGAGAAAGAAATGACTTTGATGACTTTACAAGTTGTTGGAACAGTAGTTCTGTGCATGGTGATGATCTTGTTGGTTAATGCTACCACCTGGTGGACACCTGGAGCAAGCCATGTCCCTGGCCTAGGAGGCCTAGGGCTGGGGAGGAGTGTGTGTGTGTGTGGGGGGGGGGGGTACTCAGGGGAGGAAGCAGGAACTGGGGAGCCAGCTGAATGGAGATATGTGCTGTGTCAGCATTACACATGCCGAGGTTTATCGGGACCCAGCAGGCTCCGCCCTGGTTCAGGACACTATGGAAAATGAGAAAGGGCCCAGGGAGAGGGCAAAGGAGCTGAGTTAGGTGAGTATCTCCCTCCTTCCCTCCTCCCGTCCTCCCCTCCTCCAAGCCTGGCCTGAGCCAAGAGGAACCAGCTCCAGGAAAGGTAGAGAGAGAGAGAGGGAGAGAGAGAGAGAGAGAGAAGAAGGTCACTGCTGACGTCAGAGACATTCAGGTAGGAGGTAAACACAATCTGACCTACATTCATTCAGTCATCCATCTTCCACACCCTCCCTTACTCACTGGGGTGCCCTTCTCTGGGCACCCCCCAGCTCTCACACTCCAGTAGGACTCCCTCCTCTCCCAAGATCTCAATTCCTGGGCCATCATATTTTGTCATTCAGTGCCCAGCGGGGCACAGGTGTGGAAGGGAAAGGCAAGAGAGAGACTCCTAAAGGCACTCCCGAGACAGGCACTTCCTTCTCTCTTCAGGTCAGATGGTGGCTGGAGTAGGGAGGGTGGGTTGATTTCCATGTGCAGCCCCAAGGGAGCCCCTAGCGGGAAGGTGACTGATGTTGGTTTCAGTCACAGAACCTTGTCTGGAGTGACTCAGTGATTAGAGGGGCCCCTGAAAGGGCGAGGGCCTTGTTGGACAGGGACCCTAGCTCCTCCCTAGCTCAGACCTGCTGAAACTAGCACCAGTGTTTCTCGGGGATGGAGCCCAGGACTCTGCATGTTTAACAAGCTCCCCCAGGGTTTCCGATGTCTGGTTATTCTGATGCTCTTTCAAGTTTGAGAGCCACTACTTCAGGTCTGCCCCAACTAAGACCATCTGAATGAGCTTCTTCCAGGGCGGAGGGAGGAGGGTAGCTGCAGACCTGAGAGCGCGCAGGGTGCCCACAGTGGCGACAGAGACAAACAGACCTTTTATTACCAAAAATAAATACATGCCAGGCCGATGGAAGAAATGGAGGCTGCAGGCCCGGCGGGAGAGCTCCTGAGGAAGAGACGGTCTCAGTCTACAGGCTGAGATGGGCAGGCGCCAGGGAGGCCCCGAGACCTAGCCCCCCATCCAAGGGGGGCAGCAGGGCGATCAGGGGCGTCTCACACGCCCCCAGCAGCACGTCCCGGCGCCACCCCGCGCCCCTGTCCAGCACCTTGGCCCTCAGGCTGCGGGCGGCCAGGTCCGGCGGGTCGAGCCCGTCGAAGAAGAAGTCCTCGTTGAAGATGGGGTTAGCGCTGCACCTGACCACGCGGCTCCGCTGGCCCCGCGGCCTGAGGCGGGGCCGCAGCCCCAGCACCACGAAGCAGCCGCCGCCGCCGCCGCCGGGCCCGGTTCTCGAGCGGGGCAGGCCCTCGGCGCTGACCAGGCGCAGCCGCAGGCGCCCGGGCCCCGCCTGGTACTCGGCGGAAGAGGCGTAGCTGCCCGCCGCGCGGCCCGAGGTCAGCACGCTCTCTCTCGTGGGCCTGCAACCGTGCGGTACAGCATGTTCCAGGTGGAAAAGCGGCGGCGGGAGCCGGCTCCCCTCCGCCGCGGCGCCGTGTGGCCTGGTGTCGGTCAGAGCTCGCCTCCTCCG